ACACTCACAAGGATCCTACTGCCACCACACCCATCTCTGATTGCTTTTAAAGTTTTTTTTTTCTGGACATCTGGTTAACTTAATTAGAATATGCTTTGGTATTTTTTCTTTTTTCTTTCTTTTTTTTTTTTTTTTTTTTTTTTTTTGCGGAACTGGGGATTGAACTCAGGCCCTTGGGCTTGCCGGGGAAGCACTTTTTCTATGGAGCCATCTCCCCAGCCCTGATAAACTTTATTTATTTATTTACTTATTTATTTATGTTCTGTAAGCATTGCTTATATTTTAAACTCTTTTCTTATATTTTGGAAACTTTCTTCTATGGTTTCTTTCTTTTTTTGCTCCAAATGCCTTCAGGGCAGGTTTGGCTTGCTTGAGTTGTTGGGATCGAACCACAGCAGCCTGAGCCTGACTGCTTTCTTGAAGCAGCCACTTACAGAACTGAGCTAAGGGGCAGGCCACCTCTTCTATGGTTTCTATAAACGTGTTAGTAAATCTATCTGTGTTACCATCTAGTTTTCTTCTAACTCCAATTAGATTGGTCTTACTGTCATACAGGAGTGGCTGGATAATATTCTCTTGTTCTCTTATTTTCTTTGTTGCTGCATCATCTTCTTATGCTTTCTTCTTCCTTCCTTCTCCTTCTTCATCTTCGTCTTCTTCATCTTCATCTTTTTTTGGTACTGGGGATTGAACTCAGGACGTTGCACTAGCCAGGTAGACACCAATGCCAGTGAGCTGTCTCCCCAGCCCTTTTAGGGCTGCTTTGAGTACGTCATCGTGATTCATTATTTGTCCACAATGTTAGACACTCTGTCTTTACTAATTTATGATTTCTATACAGCTTTTTTATTTCAGATATTTATTTTTGTAATTATTCTATATGCTTGTCGAATCTGTCATTCAAGTTTTAAACTGTTTTGATTAGTTCATCCAGTTTTTTACTCATTTTCTCAAAATTTACCATGGGGTATAGAGTCAAATTGCTGTGAAATTTTGATTTTCTTCCTCTTTGAACTCATTTAGATTCTTTATCTCTTCTATATACTTTGTATAGACTTCTTTTACCTGGTGTTTACTTTCTTTTCCCTCTGTGACCACCTTGCCCTGCCTTGTGAAAATCTGGAGACCTCAGGAGTCTTTTGTTGCCTTGCTTCCCCTGGTCTTAAGTGTGTATATGTCTGTTTGTCTGTGTCTGTCTATCCATCCATCCATGCATCCATCTGTCCTTCAATCTATCCCCGCTGTTTTCTCCTTTTTTGGAGGAGTTCTGTAGATTGGAGTCTAGTGTAGTAAGGAAAGTTTGTGGTTTATATGAAGATTTTTAGTAAAATGTTGCCTCCTCATGAAGTCTTTTCCACTTTATATGACCACTTACAGTTTTTACCCCTCTTTTTCCTTAAGTGCTTTGGTCTGTCCCTATGTTTTTCAGAGAGAATTACTTCTGGTTATAACAGCATCAAATTTTCAGAGATGTCCTCTAGACCTAGCTAGATATTATCCTTTGGGTGTGTCCCAGTATCCTAACACTTTTTTAGGGAGGAAAATTTGCAGCCTGTTGGTAATGGACTGTAGTTCATATGTATGACCCCAGACAGTCTGGATATTGGCATACACAGAACACTAAGTGATCACAAATGAAGAGTATCAAAAACAAACTAGATAATGACAAACTTTAATAACTAACACTGTGCCACCTTTAGTCATAGGAACAAGATCTGTAGTTAGAGAACCAACTCTAAGACAAGTCAAGTATTTACGTATAGTAAATATTCAACAAAACAGTTTTACCTCCTTTTGAAACAGAATAGTGTTCAGCTGTAATAAGATATAGTCAACTACCTATAGATTTAAATTTTTTTCCACACCCTCCTCTAACCAGTGAATTTATGAACCTGAACAGATTTTCTTTTTCTTTTTTTGGATGGCTCAACCCACCCTGAGGACGGGATGGCATGCCATGTAGTGCCGGGGATTGAACTGTGGTCCCCCGCGCCTGCCTAAGCTTGCCTAAGAAGGCGCTTTAGACTGCTGCGATATCTCACCAGGCCCTCAGATTTTAAATTTTTTAAAATCGTTTGTTTGTTTATTTGGTGTAGGGCCTTGCTATGAAGCTCTGACTCTTAGTGATCCTCCTGTGTCAGCCTCCCCAGCTTTGGAATTACAGGTGTGTACCACCACGCCCAGTTTCAGTGGCTGGTACAGGCATGCCTGTGGTTCTGGGACCAGCATGGCATTCAGTACCAAGGATTGAACTCAGTTCCTTGCACTTGCCAGGCAGGTGCTTAGACCCCCAAACTATCTCCCCAGATTTGTAAGGGTAAATTGTATGGTTATGGGAGCATAAAAAAGAGAAATAGCTCATGCAAAATTAAACAATGTAAGATGGGAGGAAGTTGGTAAGGTTTATGTAAAATATTCTATGAAGGGGTAAAGGGAAATTGGTAACAGTAAATAACAGTAACAAAAAAACCAACTAGGATAAGGATTAGTTGAAGGGAATGAGGATTAAACTAGAGGAAAGGAGAATAAGAAGAACTCAGGAAATGGGTTGAAAGAGATAATGAGAGAGAAAAAAGGGAAGACCTATTTAAACAAATAAAACAACGTTATATTTTAAAAAGGGATGGGGCTGGTGAGATGGCTCAGTGGTCTAAAGCACCTACTTAGAACAAGCTTAGCAAAACACAGGGACTGCGGTTCAATACCCCAGCACCACATGCCAGCCAGCCCCACCCCCTGGTGGGCTGAGCTGGCCACACACACAAATAAAAAAAAGGGATAACAAGAAAATGGTTGATAGAACTCCAAACTCCACCTGTAGTAAAATACTACTACTACTGCTAATACTAATAGTAATAAATAGAGGAGAAAAGAAGAAAATTATGGTAAATGAAGGGAGAAGAGAAAGAAAAGCAAAAGAATTACTACATATTTCCAGAAGAACATTTTCTTCCAGAGCTTTCAGCATTTGATATCACACATCACATTCGTCTCTGCCCCTCTTTGTAGGTTTGTATGGTGATTTCTCAGCTCAGTGTTTTGTTGCTGACGAGGCAGAAGAATGCCCAGGCAGGGACTGAGCCCAGGATTCTGGCAAAATGCTGGTGATGATTCTGCTTTTCCTAGAGTGGAGTCAGTGCATCTGGTGCTGAATGGATTCTGCCACAGTCTCATTGTTCTAGGCTGAGACTTGTGCATGATCAGAGCCCCCTGTAGAGACTCAGCCTGCCTAAGATTGGTGCTAGGTGTCAGAGTCTTTAGCAGGTGTAAAGAGTGGAGCAGAACGGTGAAAGCTGGGTGTAGACTCAGCTGAGCCCAGGTTGCCAGGTATATCTCAAGTGAGACCAGTGTTAACTCTGTGTGCTGGATGAATGTCTTAGTTGGTCTAGGATAAGCTTCAGGTTACTGTCAATGGCTCAGGTGTGCCGGGGGTAGAGTATTGCAGACTCCTGACACAAACAGCCATCACTTGTTTATCATCTCAGAGTCTGAGATCAAGCTGGTGGGGAAGGAGCCTCCCATGCCACTGATTACTTGCTTCTGGTTTGTGCTGGGGAAAATGCTCCTCAATGTGTGGAGAGGAGACAGTGGGGCTAATGGACTCAGATACCCACAAGTCTGTCCTGTGAGATTAGCCTCTGCCGTACTCCTTGGATCCCACCAGCTATTTGGGAACTTCTCAAAGTGGCTGTTCCCATGGTGTACAAGGATAGAGGCCAAGTGGGCCAGCGTTTTGGAGCCACTTTCACTCAACTCCTGTGCATGTTGTGCCTACAAGTCACTTATTTCTTTGACTTTTTGTATCAGAGTGTATGTTCCCCCTTCTTCCAATTACTTGTCTTTGAGAGGTTCTCTCAGTCTCTTAGACCTGACTCCTTCTTATTCAGCCATGTTAAATCTGTCTCCAAAATGTTTTAAGTCTCTGTGTTTGAAATAGAATTCAAACAAAGTAGGTGCACCATTACTTTTTAAAAAGTTAATTTATTTTTCTTGTCACTGTTACAGTTTTAGCCATGCTAATGATTGAACCTAAGGCCTTGAGTGTGTTCTTCCACTGAGCTACATCTCCAACCCTAATTTTATTTTTTGATCGACATATAATATTTGTACATGTTTGGAAGTTACAGTGTATATATTTTGTCATGTAGCTTATGTTCTTTAATCTAGAATAGCTTTCCCCATTTAACTGACTTGTTGAAGTAACATCCATCAATTGCTCCATAGAATATCCCACATTCTGAATTTGTCTCTTTTTTTTTCTTGCAGTGTTATTTAACTTATTCCATAACCCCTGTATTAAAGTGCTCACTTACTCACTTAATGATTATTCAGGAAATATTTGGAGTCTCTACTTTGTGTGAATACTTTGTTGTTTGTCAACAGTGAGCAAGACTAACGTAGTAGCTCTTAACTTAAATGTTGATTCTAGTTTCCATTAGTAGTGATTATGGAGCCACAAGCTTAACATGAACTTAAAAGCTTGTGTGGAAAGGTCAAGGTGAAAAGCTTATTGTCTTGATGTTTTTAATATTAACTTGTATTCAGTGAAGAACAAGTGGATGTGGAACTCGTACAACGTGGAGATATCATTAAAGTGGTTCCAGGAGGCAAATTTCCAGTGGATGGTCGTGTTATTGAAGGACATTCTATGGTAGATGAATCCCTCATCACAGGTATGTTCTTTCAAAGGATCGTTACATAAAAGTGAAATGAATCCAAAGTATTAATGAAAAATAGGAATGAAAGCGGAAGAACTTTTTCTAGAAATGAGTGAATTATGAACAAAGAGAACATGTTTTAAAATTTTAAAGACTATTAAATGAATTTCCTCAGGTTTATTTTATCATTTTTAGTTATGCTTTTGAAGCATATGATTCTTATGCATATGCTGTTTTTGATGATTATTAATTAGTAGAATGTATAATCAAAGGAAGTTTTCTCAGTTTCCTGTTAGAACCAGATAGACTGGCAACTTTTCCTAGGCAAGTATCTATTCTGTCTTCCTGTCCAAAAGACAAGTCTAATCTGAACTGGGCTAGAATTATACATTTGCTATATCAGGGTCTGCTTCAAGAGAGTAGGTCTGGAATATTTTTAGAGATGTTAGATAACTAAGGCTAATTTGGAGCAGAATCTAAATAATATCTTTCTTATCTCAACTCTCCAGATAGTCCCAGAAAAGGCACAGTTTATAAATCATATAGAAATAATGTAGGACTCTGTGTTTCTCAGCGTGAGTGCTATTGTCAGTCTAGATGGGAGAATTCTTAGTTCAGGGGACTGTTTTGTACAATATAGTATAATGTATTGCCCCGACCCTGGATCACTAAGTTGTAGTAGTAGCACATTGCACATTCTTGTCCATCATTATTAAAAAGAAATAATACATACCACATTTCTAAATGCTTCCTAAAAACAAGTAATCTAGGACAAGGTGAACTCTAAAAGTATCTGTCAAAATGAACCAATATGTTAGGTTTTTTCAGGTTAAAGGTGCATTCCTGGGCTTTGCTTAGAAGTGACGTAAGGAAAAAGGGAACATAATTTTCACTTCATCATTTTTCCAGATTCTGTTTCATGAAGTAAGAATCTCCTGTCTAGATACTGCTTGACAATTAACAAATAATGGCATGTTTAAAGATAGTGAAATCATTTATTATCCTTAAGTCTGACTTTTACTCTTCCTAAAGGAGAGGCAATGCCTGTGGCTAAAAAACCTGGCAGCACAGTAATTGCTGGTTCTATTAATCAGAATGGATCCATACTTATCCGTGCAACCCATGTTGGAGCAGATACAACCCTTTCTCAAATTGTCAAACTTGTGGAAGAGGCACAAACATCAAAGGTAGTGTAACTCCCTAGAGGAAACAGTCTTTTCTTTAAAGATTTCTTGGTATAAATATTAATATAAGTTTTGTATTTTCATTTGATTGATTTTTCTCACATTAATATGTTTGTTAAAATATTTGTCATCTAACTACCAAATATGTTCTGTGTTCACTATCAGAAATGGAAGCTTTGAATTAATAACCATTATTATTATTTTAAATTGCAGGCTCCTATCCAGCAGTTTGCAGACAAACTCAGTGGCTATTTTGTTCCTTTTATTGTCCTTGTTTCTATTGCTACCCTCTTGGTATGGATTATAATTGGATTTCTGAATTTTGAAATTGTGGAAGCCTACTTTCCTGTAAGTGACTTGAAGCAACTCTTTACTATATGCAAAATAGTCTGTGAATCTTTTGCAGAAGTGATTGAGTGAAAATAACTTTAAAAAGTATTGAAAAATTGAAATAATTTTCAAAACCACCCCAAGATAGTCTGGAGTGTAGTTTAGTGGTACAATACTTACCTAGCATGCTTGATCCCCTGGGTTCAATCTCTAGCACCCTAATGCAAAAAATGAAAATCAGCAACAACAAATACTCTATTGGTACAGTAATGAGCCTTCTTCTCTTCATGAGAGTGAGGAGTATGTTCCAAGGCCTTACTGGATACCTGAAACCATGATTAGCACTGAGCACTGTCTATGGTATGTTTTTTCTTATACATATACAAATTTAATGCCATTTCCATCTTCACTAAGCACTTGTTACATGCTGTGGTTCTAGCTTGCTTCTTTCTCTTTCTTTCTTTCTTTCTTTCTTTCTTTCTTTCTTTCTTTCTTTCTTTCTTTCTTTCAGACAGTCTTGCTTCATAGTTCAGGCTGGACTTAAACTCAGCGTAGCCCAGGCTGGTCTGAAATTTCACATGCTCCTCCTGCCTCAGCCTCCCAGGTGCTGGTATTACAAGTGTGTGCCGCCACATCCAGCTGTGGCAGCATGCAACTCCAGCATGAAAGCCTGGCAGCATGGTAATCCCTGGATCCACATAATGGATCCCTACTTTATTGTTGAGTACTTCTACCTTTTCACTTAAAGCAAGCACTATGGCATTTCTTTGTTGTACACAAATTGCTGCTCATGTACTTTTTTATGTATTTAGTGCAGGGTCTACAAGGGCTCAGTATATAGATCAGACTTGTAGTATTCTTTCTATTTTCAGCATCCCAAGGGCTGGGATTATGGAGTGTGCCACCACGCCCAGTCTCAATGCTCAGGCACTTTGGTAACATTACTGAATAAAATATGAGCTACTTGAACTTAGCAGTAGGGCAACTCAACAGTTACTCTGATAACTGAGAGAATTCTGTTAACTAAGTGATTAATAGGAGCATAGTGTATACAGCATGAATATAATTCATGCCCAGGGTGGAAAAGAACAAGATTTCATCATGATACTCAGAATGATACACATAATTTGAAACTTCAAAATTATTTATTTCTGGAATTTTTATTGAATATATTTTGGTCATAGTTGACTGGATAGCTGAAGCTATGGATAAAGGGGAACTATTGTATCATTAGGGAGTGGGAGATTGGTAAGACTAGCACTTGAATTTCTGTAAATATCAAAGGTTTCTTTCTAGAAATAATTCCAGTGTGATTTCTGATTTTTCAGAAGGAAGCAGTGAACTTTAACTTTGTAGTGTCATTTCTGACATTATTTTGGATTCACAAAGAATTGCAGATATATTGAGAAAACTTCCAAGATTAAATTCTAGTATTTTGCCATCAGTGTGATCTTAGACCACATAATTACTCCTTAAGTTTCAGATTCCTCATCTGTAAAGTGAAGTTTTAATAATACCCATTCTGCCTAACTTGCAGTTATTGCGTTAAATAAGATATCAGAAATTCTTAGCAGTTTATTAACTGGTTTACAGATGTATAATATTGCTTAGTCATCTACTCCCTGATGGTCTCTAAAGTATAGTATAAAATGGTAAAGTAGACTTAGACTGTGCTTCAAATTAGATATATAAATTTTAAGTCACTTATCTTCAGTTTTCTTACTTGTAAAATAGGGATAGCAATACCTAAATTACAGAATTGGAATTAGCACAGGTGAAAGTGTACCATGCATGTAAAAGAGTACATATAGGGCCAGCCAAATAGCTCAGTGGATTAAAGCACCTACAAGGAGGTGCAGGGGCCAGGGTTCAATCCCCGGGCCTGCTGTGCTGGCCCCGCCCCCAGGGCACACTTGGATGGCAACTGAGACTGGGTGTGGTTTCACGTGCCTGTAATCCCAGCTCTTGGGAGGCTGTAAACAGGCGGATCACTAAGAGTCCGATCTCGTAATGAGACCCTGAACACCCTGTAGACCCTTCCCTAAAGTGCAAAAATAAAATAAAATAAAAATACAAGTTTGATCCCAGCCTGGGCAAATGAATAACTTAGACCCTGTCTCAATACATAAATGAATGAATGAATGAAACCAACAAATAATAAAGAGCTGAGATGTAGCTCATTGTGAAAGTTCTGAGGAAGACAGCTTAGTAGAAAAAACACTTGCCTGGCAAGCACAAGGTCCTGAGTTCAATCCCCAGATTTAAAAAAAAAAAAAATTCTGGGTTTAATCCCCAGTGCTATAAGAAAAAGAAAAGAAAAAACATTTTCTCAATAATAATGGAGCTATAGACAGACAGACAGACAGACAGACACACACACACACACACACACACACACACAGACTTGGCCTTGCAGAATACTGGGATTATAGGCACACACCACCATGCCTTTTTTTTTTTTTTTTTTTTTTTTTAAAGACAGGGTCTCACTATCTTGAATGGCTTTAAACTCACTGTGTAGTCCAGGCTGACCTTGAATTTGTGATCCCCCTGCTTTAGTCTCCTGAGTGCTGGGATTACATGAATGTGCCATTACATCTCACTATTTTGTTATTTTTAATAATGCCATGCTATATTTTCACACTCTTTATTCCTTCAGTTCAAAAACATGTAAAACTATATGCATTATTTCCATGGGATGGTCATAGGTATAATATGAAAAAGTTTCCTTAAATGATTCATCTATGTTAAGTACACATTGAACAGTTATGATAATTGAGTGTGTATACTTTAGGAATTTCTTTTGAAGTTAGGAGAATTTTTTTTTTTTAACGGAACTGGGGATTGAACTCAGGCCCTTGTACTTGCCAGGCAGGTGCTTATTCTACTGAGCCATCTCCCTGGCCCCAAGTTAGGAGAATTTTATTGGCAATAATAATAAGAAGAAGAATAGCTCCTGAATTTCCAGGAAGGATCCCAGGTGGGTGGCCACATACCTCCTTATTCCAGATATATGAGAGAGAGAGAGAAACAGAGAAACAGACAGACAGATACAGAGAGACAGTGTGAGCGAGCACAGGAATTACACCGTTATGTGGTGGATGTGAAAAGGAAGCCCCACACATTATACTATTTCTTTATTTTGGTGCTGGGCATCAAATTCGCAACTTCAAGCTTGCCAGGCAAGCACTTATGCTAAGCACTATACTGATCTCTGTTGGCAATCCCTACACCTGTAGCTTATCACTATTATGGTTCAGTGAGGGTAAAAAGCCACAGTAGAAGCTATTAAAACAAAAACAATAACAACAAAAAAAAATCACCTCAACAAGTGTCTTTACATTTCTTAGTTGAACTAATCCTTCAATACTGCAGAAACCTCAATCTTCTTACAGCCAAAACTAGAGGGACTTACACACTAATAAAGAAAACATGTCTTATTTATTTATTTATTTATTTATTTATTTATTTATTTATTTTGTGTGTGTGTGGCCAGCTCAGCCCACCAGAGGGCGGGGCTGGCTGGCATGTGGTGCTGGGGGATTGAACTACAGTCCCTGTGTTTTGCTTGGCTTAGTTTGTTCTAAGTAGGTGCTTTAGACCACTGAGCCATCTCATCAGCCCAGAAAACATGTCTTTTATAAATAACAAACATCATGTAAAAGTGGGCCTTAAAACAATAAAAAGAAAATATTAGAGCTATAGATAGCCTGCCTCCATGAACATGCATGTCTAGGAGCCAGCTGGTTACAATCCCTACTGCTGTTACAATCCCTAAAATCCCTACTACTGTCTCTTAAAAACATTATGTTTTCATTCTGGTTCTTATGTTTCTGCTATGCATTTTTACTGTCTTGGTAAAATTTGTTTCTTCACACCTAAAGGCTATCATAGTCAAGATGGTCATGCAGCTAGAACCAATGATAAATGTACTGGACTGCTTTTACTAGTTTTATTTAAGTAGAGTTAAATTTTATGTCTCTTGTTTGTATAACTGTCATCAATAACCTTATGCCTTTCTTTAATCCCTTCTGCTAAAGGGTTACAATAGAAGCATCTCCCGAACAGAAACAATAATACGCTTTGCATTTCAAGCCTCTATCACAGTTCTATGTATTGCATGTCCCTGTTCACTGGGACTGGCCACCCCGACTGCTGTGATGGTGGGTACAGGAGTAGGCGCTCAGAATGGCATTCTTATCAAAGGTGGAGAGCCATTAGAGATGGCTCATAAGGTAAGACAGTCTCCAGCACTAAAAATTGCCTCATCTACACTGGCACTAATCCCCTTGTTGAGGATCACAGAGCCCTAAGTTATTTCCACATGGTTCATAAGCAGAGCTTCTTCTCAGACTGTTTTGAGGGTTGAAGCAGGAAAGATTTTTTTTAAAATTTTGCTCCAAATTGGCCTTTGATCTCTGAAAATATTCCACAGTTACTTTCTTACTCCTGATAAGGAAAATCTAGAGCCTTATTCAAGCTCATACTGGATCAGTATTTAGGAAAGGAAGACAGAATAGGTATTTGCCTGGGAAAAAAATTGCTGAAGTATAGCAGACTTCTAAGGCATTTATATGTGACTCCATGTGCAGGTTCTTCAGTGAGAACTAGTGGCTGCAATTACAGAACAGTTTCTTTGCCTGTGTTGCCATCTTTGCCAAACTGCCAGTTGCCAGTTTGCACTATGATTTTAGGAAAATGATCATCGTTGGTCTCTTTTATTGTAGAATTTCTATAACAGTTTTAGTTAAAGCTACTTGACTTTGACTAAAACTATATTCTTCCAGGATGTTCTTTTTATGAAGATATAAAGTATATATAGATGCTTATGGTAAATGCAGAATATAGCTTAGAACAGATCTATGATTCACCTAGCCAGTGAATACAGGCTAATGATTTTTATACAAATTTTTGGGCCAGCCAAATAGCTCAGTGGATTAAAGCACCTACTTAGGCAGACGTAAGGGCCAGGCATTTGATCCCTAGGCCTGCCATGCTGGCCCCGCCCCCGGGGCACGCTGAGACGGAGATTGATACTGGGCATGGTGGCGTGCGCCTGTAATCCCAGCGCTTGGGAGGCTGAAAACAGGAGAATCACTATGAGTCCAATCTATGTAGTGAGGCCCTGTAAACCCTGTCCTAAATAACGTTGAAAAATTTTAAATTTTGATGTAATTTCAAACATAAAAGTTGCAAGACTAGTATAGAAAACTCTTTTACTATAGCTGTTGAGTACCTTTCCCAAGAGCAAGAGTACTCCTTCATTCACCACAGTACAGTGATGAGTGTTAACAAATTAGTATTGATATACTACTGTTATCCATAGCCCATGTTCCAGTTTTAATTGTGTGAATGTCTTTTATAGCTATTTTTTTCTTTCAGAATCATGCTATTTAATATTCATATCTCTTTCATCTGTATTTCAGTTTTATAGTGAGTTGAATGTATTTTCTAATTCCAGATTCTTCCCTTTCCTATGTGGTTGAGTTTCCCACATTGGTTCTCTGAACTATCTCTAAGTCCAAGTTTCTAACCAAGACCCAATCAAGCTAGATTATTCACCTTTTCTCTTTAATTGTCTGTCTCCTGCTCAGACTTCTCCAGTGACTGTACAACTCATCAGTATTGAAAATGTTTGCATTTTCTTGGATGTACTAGAGACATCTTTTAATTGTCTGTTAACAGTATACCTTGAGTCATTAGCTCTATTTAATGCACATTTTGTTTAACGTTCATTCACAGACATGTAGCAGCATTAGGCATTTGAACATTTGCAGGGAAGAGTATTAGTTACAGCTAGAGTATTTCTTATTCTTCCCTTTTTTTCTTTTCTTTTTTTTAATGTATTTGGTACAAGGTCTACAGGTCTCACTATGTAGATCCCACTCGTAGTGATCCTCCTGTTTTCAGCCTCCCAAGTGCTGGCATTACAGGCGCACGCCACCACACCCAGTCTTAATCATTGTCTCAGTGTGCCCCAGGAGCAGGGCCAGCATGGCACACTGGAGATCGAATCCCAGCCACTGTGCTCTGCCTAAGCAGGTGCTTTAGTCTGCTGAGATATTCTTTCTTTTTTTTAATCCCCGAAATCAGTTTATGAAGTTAAATTAAGTGAAAGGCCAGTATATTAAGAAAAAAAATATACTATAATCTAGTATAAACCTTTTTCTCATTTCTGGATAAATGATGTTAAGAATTTTCAAGTAATATAGGTATTGTATTTTTAAATTTTCTTACAGGTAAAAGTAGTGGTATTTGATAAGACTGGAACCATTACCCATGGAACCCCAGTAGTGAGTCAAGTAAAGGTTCTAGTGGAAAGTAATAGGATTTCACGCAATAAGATCCTGGCCATTGTGGGAACCGCTGAAAGTAACAGTGAACATCCTCTAGGAGCAGCTGTAACCAAATACTGCAAACAGGTACAATTTTGCCAGTTATATTAAAGTAACCATCTCCTACAAAAATTAGTGCTGATGAAATACAGACTGACATTTTACTGTTTTTTTATGTACATTGTTGGTATGAGGTTAAATAGACTTGTATTTTGTCATTTAATTATATGGATCTTAGCTTCTTCTCGCAGACAAATAGAAGAATGAGCACAGAAATTAATTACAATCCAGTCATGTGAATAACTTCTGTTGACATGAAAAACTAGGGCTGGAGATGTAAGTCAGAAGTAGAACACTTGCCTAGAACACAAGGCCCTTGGTTTCCCAGCACTGGGGAAAAAAGAATACATATGTAGGACAGGAAAATTGAGATAGTTTGGAGAATTACATAATGAGAAGTGAAAATCCCATTCCCTGCCCTCTTCCATAATTCCTTTCTCCAAAATTAACAATTGTTAACCTGCCAGTCTTTTTGCAATGACAATTTTATTGAGTTACAATTTGTATGCTGTAAAGTTCATCTTTTAAAAGTAATGACAAGTTTCGGCACATTCACAATGATGTTCTTTTTTAAAAAACTGTTTGACTTTTAAGAATAGTGTTTGGGGGGCTGGTGAGATGGCTCAGTGGTCTGAAGCACCTACTTAGAGCAAACAAGCTTAGCAAAGCACAGGGACCACGGTTCAATCCTCCAGCACCACATGCCAGCCAGCCCCGCCCCCTGGTGGGCTGAGCTGGCCACACACACACATAAATAAAT